CATCACAAAATGCTTGAAATCTATTTTTTCTTATATCCACACATCTTGAAGTCGAGTTGATCTTGTTAGAATTTAAGAACCCTCTTAGATGCGGAAACACGAATTCTAAAGTTGGATTCCACCATGATCGTGTACTTATCCAAATAGAAACAAAATAGAAGAGAGCACTAACCATAATACAATAAATATAACATGAAACACACCCACCACAAGAACACAAAGATTTACGTGGTTCACCCCAAGATGGCTACATCTACGGGGCACGGCAAACTAAATCCATTATGCCAATGAAAGTTACATCACATATTTTGGGACATAGAGTTACCTTTTAACTCTCGACAAAAACTAGTCGAGCAAATCCTTTTAGACCCGCATTCCTAATCAGCACGACCCGTCAATGTCTTATCTCTATTCCACAGCTAAGTCATTGTTCAAGAAGATCAATCTCTATTCCATAGCTAAATAGCTATCCACTCTCATCGCTATTTGATAGGTAAGCCATTGTTCAGGAAAAGACCCATCTCTATTCCACAGCTAAACAGCTATCCAGGAAGAGACCCTTAAAAGCAACCAAGACTTTCTCTTCTCTCACTAAAAGGGGAAACCATCCAAAATCTTCATAGGAACTGCTCTTTTACAAGAAACCGGCATCGCACAACCTCTCATTAAAAGGGAAAACTACCCAAAATCTTCATCAGAACCGCTTCTCTACAAGAAACCAGCCTCTCAATCTACAAGAGGCACATCCATGGAGAGACTTTTTTCTCTTTATGAGGAGGAGAGATTCTTTTCTCTTTAAAGGGAGGCATGCACAGGAAGTCCTTTCCCCCTCTCTCTCTAGATGAAGTCATATTTCCCATATGGTAACCCAAATAAAGTACACCTAGTCTTTCATCTTTTATCCAATATATATAAGATTAAGAGTCCACACTAAATAGGAAACTTCATAAGGGTTACATATATCTCACGAATCAAGAGATATATCCAAGAGTCCTAATCTTTTTGAATTTTTATTTCTTTAGTAAACTTTTCAATATCAGTTTCAATCCCACACAATATGGAATTTACTTATATAAGTGATTTTGGATAGTACCGAATTCAACATATCTAATTAAGGGTTTGTGAGCATCAAAACAACCTCAACCTCTTTTAGTGAAATTTTGAAGTGCATCTTAATTACTGTTTAGGGCCTTTCCTTGTATAAACGTTTTCCATAAATTATAAGTTATGGTTTAGATGCATTCTATAATGCAATTGTTCCGAGTGAATCCACCCTCCTAATATCCAAGTTAGAAGTGAACCAACGTTTCTAATATCGATCTTGGGCTAGAGGCAAAATTTTGTTAATCTATCACAATCATGAGTTTTGAATTTGAAAAGAGAAATATATTGTGTATTAGAAGTAATCTATTTTGAACTTTTTTAATAATTCATTTGATTTTTAAAACGAAAGATACAATTTTATATTTCGGAAGCTCTTATGATGGTCCAAAATCTATTTTTTAAGCTAATTATAAAATTCAAAACTCTAAAAATATTGTAGCTCGAGCAAACTCATAACTATATAAAAAGCTTGTAAATGGACAGTCTAAATAATATATTATTATATATTTTTAAGACTGCAAAATTGTTTTTTCATATCCATACATCTCGAGGTCGAGATGATCGAGTCGAGGGTTTTTGAGCATCCAAACTTTTAGTAATAGGTTTTTGAAGTGCAGCTTGCTTGTATAGTATAATGTTCATGCTTTGTATAAACTTTTTCCCTTTTTTAAAAGCCATCAAACCTCTATTGGTTTTTTCGAACTCAAAATTCATGGATTAATAGAAATAGTGAAAATAAATTTACTGTGACATAGAATGTGTTTTAAGTGCTAAATCCTTCAAAAACAACCACCAAATACTTCTCCTCAAAGCACTAAATAACATATAATATCCTAAACAGTGCTGTGCACAATGTTAGCACATATAACTTCGTCATTTTTGTGATCGCCCTAGACAAAAGACAAAAAGTAACCCATCCCAAATGCTAATTTCATCTCGTATGCCAATCATATTTATGTCTAATAAATATGAACTGTTTGTTAAAGAGAAAAGCTTATATAGAGCCAAGGCTCTAAACAATCAAATTAGAGCCTACATTAAAATTTTCACTAGAAAAAGTTGTTTTGATATCCAAATATCTTCAAATTGATCATCTCGACATCAAGATATATGTACATAAGAAAAAAATGGATTTCAAGTTTTGGAAATAGCGCATCCTGCATTACAATTTTGGACTGTCAAATTTCAAGATTTTCAAGCTTTTATAGATATGCTTGATGTACACTATTTTTCAAGCTTTAAATTTTATAATTAGAGATAAAAATATATTGTAGGGCTATTACAAAGAGTTTCAATGTTCAAACCACATTTCTTGATACTATTTAAAGGTAAGCTCTACTTTGATTGTTTAGAGCCTTGGCTCTATGCAAACTGC